CGTCGGGAAGGCACATGCTGCCAATCATCCTCGCAATCGGGGGGCCCCTGCTGCGCCTGCTCTGAATCTTCAGAACATTGTGGCCGTAGAAGCCTCTCCTGACGTCTGTCCAGGAAATCTTCATTTTCCCTTATGCAACGCAGAGTCGACACTCGTTTCTCCAGCCCTCGAACCTTCTCTTCCAACATGGAGACCAGCTTGCACTTTGTACAGACAAAGTCGCTTCTGTCCTGTGGAAGAAAGACAAACATGGCACAACCTGTGCAGGTTACAACAGCTGATCGCTCACCTTCCATATCACCGTCCTCTTAAGAGCTTCCTCAACTGTTGCAGGAACTACTCAGAGGAACCTGCAGATGAAAGCCTCAGTGCTCTCTCCTTAAGACAACTCCCAGGCAAACTCCCGCTGTTAGCCTCCGCTGTTTGCCGCTCAGCTGGTTCGCTGCTGACTGCCCTTATATACCAGTCAGGCCCACTCAAGGCCCACCTGGAACAAAGCACTCCCAATTCACACTTTTCAAACAAACAAGCAAGCAATCAAGCACACGGTCAAACTGACCAACTGTCCCAGCAGCAGGCACTCAGATACTCACCAACACAGCCCCCCTAATGCAGCACTTAGCATACCTCCTCTTGGACAGCTCCCAGGCAAACTCCCGCTGTTAGCCTCTGCTATAAGCCTCTGTGCTTAGTGACTGAAGCAAGCTAGGCAACAGGCCAAGCAGTGTGGGAGATATTATTCCTAGCTATGTGTCAGGTCAGCCTCTGTTTAAAAACAGCAGAATCATTGTAGACTGCCATATTGCTAAAGAAGTCAAAAACTTTTGTCTACAGCCAGGCAGGCGGCAACCCTAAAAGTCATCTACCATATTCATCGTGCAACACAAAGTCTCTTTGGTAAAGGAAATCAAGAATTTTCACTAGTCACCAGGGGAAGCTGAAGAATGTAATAAAAACATATTGACATTAACTGAAAAGGTTAATTAAACATTTTTATAACAGCAACAGAGTTCAAACAAAGTGCTTCCCTAGTTTATACCAAGCTGTACATGACTATAAAATATTCCATGCAATCACACCTAGTCAAGGAAAATTCCAGGACAATGTAAAAGATTTTTTTTTTTAATCACAGATGAGTGAGCCTCACTGAGATTTTGCAAACCTCTCCAACTATATCTTGGGTTCACAGAATGAGGCTGAGTTCAGGTAATACTGGATTCACTGCAAATAAAATTAGAGCACTAGCCTTTTTTTCTGTTTACAGATTGTTCACAAACCAATATTGATTTTTTGCTAATGCATTTCTTATTCATAAGTATTCAATAATTATGCAAACACATTTCAGCCTACAAGGTGTTCACAAGCTTCTCTTTGCTTGTTTGCTAATCATTATTCATGGTGAATGACTGGCCAGCAAAGTCAGATGGTGCTTCCACTTCTGATGGCTGGACATCTGAAACTTAAATCGGGGTACTAATGAGCAAAAAACAAATGATGAATAAGAAACTCACTTTGTGCACTTCTAGCCTTGTTCTACTATGAATACAGGTATGTTTATGGAGAAAAAGCAAAAATAAAATAAATGAATGATATGAACATGAATGAGGGTGGGAGAAAACTCTGCCAAAGGCTTCCTCTGTGACCATGAATAAGTCACTTAAAGTCTCAGACTCAGGAAATTATACCCATTTCTTCAGAGAAGTCCTTTTTCCTATAGTTTGTCTTGCCTAGTTACACAGACAATTCTTCAGGACAGGGATTAACTCTTACCAAGTGTTTACACCACGTATCATGACTCCTCAATTTCCATTGGGATCTCTAAATGTTAGTGCAATACACACAATAGCTATGGGAGAAATTTTAAAAGGCACGGTAATTACCTGAGTTGGAATTTGGCAAAGACCATGGCACTAACCCCTAGTCTTACAATTACCACCATGGAATCTTACTAACCATAGTGGTCAGTGCCCAACCCTCCTCAAATCCACTTCTTCACTAGCATTTTGGATCATCACAAAGTGAGAATGCTGTTACAGAGCCATGCTTACAAGCATGGCAGCCCTTATGCTGCTCTGTAAGAATCTCATGGCATCCACCTCAGGGGAAGCCCAGTAAAGTCCCACTCCACAGAAGGAGGAGGAGATGGAAGAAACCAAACATTTTTGTCTCCCTGAAAAACCCTCTGTGCACTTTAATGACTAGAGATGAAATAAATGTGTCTCCTAGCTAGTGATCAGCCACATGATTTGTCAAGACATCTCCCTCATTCAAAAAAGATATTTTCTTCAAATTTCAGCAAGTGCATTGGTTTTATAAAGTGCTTGGCTTTAGGGTTCAGAAATGACGTTACCTGAGCAAATAAGTCCAAAGACGAACACTCATAAATAGTGTGCAAATTGCCACAGCTGGGAATACATTTAATTATAAAACACATAATTATTTTGGAAGATGAAAAATGTATACATCAAGTATTATGGTCTAACAACAAAAGAGCCCGATCCACCAGGCATCTTATTTTCTTTGCCAGTCACAAATTAACAGAAAATTCATACTACAAATGGACTCCATTTAATTATTTGACCATATATTTGTGGTTTGATACATTGATCTCATTCTCTCCTTGAGAAATTATACATCAGACAGTGTCATTTTGTTATATGCAACACCCAGGGAAAAACCTTCACAAACATTCAAGGGATGATTTTATATAATCTATACTACCATATTCAGCTAGGCATCTGTATTATTTCTTAGAAGACCAAAGGTTCTTTCGATTATAGGTCTGGTAAATTTATGTGCCTCATTATAAAGTGATTCTGTTGGAGTTTGGGGATTAAGAACTGCAGTCATTAGCAATTTCTTTAGAGAAGAACCACTGTGACCTAAAAAAAGGCAAGATGTAAATAATACTCTCATATTTAATACATATTCAATGTTTTATTTACTAGAAATGCTCCTACTTATCTGTTAGCCAGTCTCCTTGAATTTGACCATCTTCAAAAGATTGACCTAATCCTTATTGTCTGAGTTTGAATAAATCATGACATGATCCTGGAAACCTGGCAAGTACATCAATGATTTTACATCTGGCATCATACACCAGCTGCATGTTGAGGGAATGAAAAGATTTTCGATTTCTTTACCTTGCCTCATTAGTCATTATGTGGTGATGCATGCATTACCACATGCATATAGTCTGTAGCTCCCAAGACAGATAGAAATCCAGCAATGTCATAAAATTCATGCATTACTTGCTGTGATACTGATTATCTTGTGGAAAGCTAATAAGATTATTAGTTCTGCTGAAAAGTGCATCTATTAATTGATATATGCATTGTCAGTGGGAATATTAACTTACTGTGTGTCAGTGCAAAAAACAATGAATGCAAGGGTAACCTTCAAGTGTCACAAGTACTCTATCAGCCTTCAAATCATTCCACAGATGGGAACAATGGTTTCTTTGCCAAAACTATGTCCACAGATTTTTTTTCAATTAGCTCTTAAAAAACCTCTATGCTCAGAAGTCATCTGATAAATTTAATTAGATAGACATGATGAGCTTTAAAAAAAAAAACTCAAAGGAGAAGCCTTTTTATAATTGGCTAAAGTTTGTGTCTTCAGTCATTCAGAAAACGAAAGGTAAATTTTTAAGATGAAAGTCAAAATGAATAAACACCCTGCTACTATTTGCACAGGCAGACATTTGCACGCACAAACTGATAGATGAGCAACTTCCCAAATTGATAAATCTGAGGGTTTGGAAGCATGATGGGAGTGACCCAGTGTAGCAGAGGAACCCCTTGCATCTTGCTTTGGAAGTCTGTCCCTCACTGTTTTCCATTTAAGACTTAATGTTTGGATATTGACTAAAGTCTAAATATTGACTATTGACTAAATTTATCACTCTGCATTACCTAGTCAAACACAGTCATTTGTTTAAAAAAAGCAATGGTTTTCCTCTCTGCCTTCATATTTGTCATTACACTTTTATACCGTACATGTTATCCTGTTGAAAACTGACTATGGGCCTGATTCAGTGTCCCTTGAAGGCAATGGGAATCTTCCCATAGATCTTTCCATTGTATCAGGACCTTTATGTGAAACAAACTTTCCTGCTGTAATGATCTTGGTGTTCATTAAATAACAAACCAAATGAATGAGAAAGGAATAAAAAACTTTTAAAACAATCTAGTGAGCTATGGCACACAGCCATGCAGTGTTCCCAACTCCCACCTCCAGGGCACATCTTCAAATTCCTATGTTCATAATACTGTCCCTTATGAGGGATTGTCTCTAAATTATAATATTCTACAAACATCTCTCTACTCCTGCCACAGGTTATTTTACAAATGGAGCTCAGTGAATAAATTTAATCAATATTTAGGATCTTTCTGTTCATGAAATATTTACAAGCTGATCACAAATTTCCTCAAATTTATTCACATTCATTTGATTAATATCTTCTTAAATTTATTTTCTCTATGGATTGATCACAGATATTAAAAATTCAAGCTGTACTGTTGAACTCCAATTTCTCAGACAAAGAACATATGGTTTCTCTTGGTAACTTAACAGGGATGCAAGCACTTTCAAAATAAATGTGCACATGGACAAACAATATAACAGGATTCAAAAAAGAACTAGATAAGTTCATGGAGGATAGGTCCATCAATATCTATTAATCAGGATGGGCAGGGATGGTGTCCCTAGCCTCTGTTTGCCAGAAGCTGGGAATGGATTGATGATTACCTGTTCTGTTCATTCCCTCTGGGGCACCTGGCATTGGCCACTGTTGGAAGACAGGATACTGGGCTAGATGGACCTTTGGTCTAACCCAGTATGGCTGTTCTTATGTTCTTAATATCCAGTTTCTACGTATACTCATAGAAGCGACTGATATTCACTTTCATCTGCTGTTTGCCAACAAAACTCAGTCATGAGAATGTTCTCATAATTGAAACACAAAAGAAGTGAAACTTAAATAAATTTAAAATTAACATTTCTAGATTTTATTTTTTTTGCATTATTTACTCAGGTCTTGTCACAAAAGCAGGGCAGATCCTCAACGGATGTAAATCAGTGTAGCCCTATCAATTTAAATGGAGTTATGCCAATTTACACCCACAGAGCAGCTGGCCCAATACATTTAATTAGAAAGATGAAAAAACAATTATCATTGATGGGCAGAAGGGCTTCTGGAAGCCCCCTGTTAAAATTCTGCTACCAAATGGAAGGGAAAGGTGGTACAATTTCTTCTCTACTGTAGTTCATCCCCTCCAGACATTACTAATTATTCTATACAGGAGATTACTTAGCTTTGGGGCTAATAATACTTCAGGAGAGTTATTTTTAACTATAGCATGGACCACATGGAACAGACAAGCAGTTATATTCATTATTTTTCTTTAAAGAAGATAACACAACATCCCTTTAAAAAACGGTTAGCTCCATCCACAACTTAAACTAAACAAGTTAAACATTGTCCTGTGCTGTCAATATTCTTATCACAGTCTTCTGGCACAAAGTACAAACATTACTACCAAGTGCAGCATAATATTAATAGAGCTGAGTTGAAATTTTCTCTTCAAAACTTGACAAAAAAGTGGCTTTTTGACAAAACAAGTTTCCCCCAAAACCAAGAACGTTTGTTTTTCGATTTTCCAATGAACAACCAAACACACTGCCAAAAAAAACAACTTTTCTTTATCTTTGAAATTTTTTTCAGAAAAAAATATTTCCCCACCTACTCCAGACATAAGTTTGTTGGCCAAGTGGCGATGTCTTTTCCCTTGGTTATGAGATTCTCTGATTACTTCACTCTTTTGTCTTCAAGGAGCTGCAGGTCTGGTATGAATTACAAGTCCAGGGGAGATAATGAACTCTACAGGTCTCCAAGGGACTATGAAAAGGAGATATTATTGAAAAATAAACTTTTATAATGCCAAACAGTGAGCTCTCTGTTGTGTCTCTCAGATGGTGTCCATACACAAGAATGGACTTCTCCAATAGTGTCTGAACATACCCTGCATTCATGTGTGACTACATGTCTGCATTCATCAACTTGTTATTTCCTAAGGATCACTGCCTCCTCTGGGCATATCAATCAGTGAAGGGGAGGTTGGACTATTTCCCACCACTGCAACCTCCACTCTGCTGGACTTTCCACCTCTGAACCCTCCACCAGAATCTAGGTCAGTTAGATTCCATGGCATTGTCGCTAGCGAAATTCACGATTGGGGTTTCTGCTAAGTAACTTAGTATTCTATGAAAACTATGTAATTACACCACTGTCAATTTATTAAATTTAAATTATTGAACTACAATTAGTATTTATTTTGTTTTCTAAAAAACAAAATCTATATACAACCATGAACATTAAATGAACAAATACAAGTAATCCAGCACCCCTTTCTACATGCCTTTAAGAGTTCTATCATGGTTTTTTAAAGAGTGTATGGTCTGCACAAAACACACAACCCAAAGGCACAAGAGAAACAATGATTAAAAGCAGAGATTTAGATGTTCCAGCAATAGAACTGTACTTGAGAAACAGACAACAAATGGCCAAATTATACAGTCCTTACTCAGTTAAAACACCTGCCTATAAATCCATGGAAACAAAGCCTCCTGTTGGGTGTGAATTTAGGGAGGGGGGAGAGATATTTTACCTGAATAAGTACCACAAAATTTAGCCCAAATAGTGTCTATGTAGCCCATCAGTAACATTTGCTAAGTTGCACAAAACTGAAAGCTAAAAATAGAAAATTCAGCTCCTGGATCAATCCATTAAACAACAGTATTGGGAAAGAGTCCTTTAAAGATGGAATAAAAGGGATAGAAGTTTTGTCATATCCATTGGTATACCTCTGTAGTGCAACTGTGAATACACCCCCACAAAGTTGATGTTCTGGGATATTCCCAGATCACTGGGCACAGGAAACATCCTTTGTAAATGCAATTTTGATATAGTGCTAGCAAGAGTTGGGGCAAAGAAAATATGAACAAAATCTTCCATTAAACTATTGGTAAGATTTGGGATTCCAAGATTCTGCTGCAAAATGATATATTTGTCTTTCTAACAACAGAAAACCTACTTTGAAATTTAGTGATTTTTTAAAAACTTCCAAGGATGGGAGACTCATTACAATGAAATCGGCAGGAATGTGTTTTTAAAAAAAATCCTTTTACAGACTTTAATCTGAGGAAAAGGGATTCAAGGTCTGTCACCACTGGTAGGAGATAATCTTGTAGGGTAGCAAGAAGAAAGTGCCTGAGCTGTAGATAAAAGACGAACTCCTGCAGCGGAACATTATACAAATGTTGAAGATGCTGGAAAGATGCCAGAACTCCCTGGTGATATAGACTGGAGACAAGTTACACAGTCACACTCCCACTGAGTGGTAAAGGAAAGGAGTCCCAGATTTCTATCAAGCACAGCTACAATAAGTGCCAGGAGGGACCTTTCAATCTTCAAATGTGTCAGAACACAAGACCATTCACAGAGAGTGTTTATAACAGCGAACCATCCTTGGTTTATTAAAAGCACTGATAACTTAGAGGAGGCTGGAATATTGGCAAGAGAAATACCAGGACATGTTTATATCCATTTAATACAGTACTCTGTGATACTAATCCCATGCAAATAACCCCTATAGCCAAAGCCAGCAAAATATGTCCCTGTACAAGATAAATGGAGGTGGCAAAATGTATCTTTGTTAGCCCGCTCTGCTAAATGAAAGAGCAATTGTTATTATTTGACTTGGGTAGGAGGAAAAGAAAAATATGGAACAAGTAAAATAACCTATTCAGATGACACTGGCCAAATTCAGTGGTGATATAAATTGAAGAGAAAATAAGCAAGTAGTGGAACTTAGAGCACCCACAGTAAATTGCATGTATGTAGAGCTATGCCAGGCAACTTCTCTGAAAAAAGCCAGGGTATTGGGAAGAGCCATCATCTGATGCCCTCTGAAGATCACAGGATATGAAGTGGTCCAGCAAACTATCCTCTAAAGACATGGATAAGAATAGGTGGCAGTGCCTTCAGGTCACCAGACTACACCCAGAAGACTTCATAAAATGTAAGGGTCATGGGCCTTTTGTGGAGTAGGGCAGAGAAAAGGAGGACGGGCCCTCCTCAACTTCACCTTCATATGAAACCAATTAGTTTTGCGTGGACTCAAATTGGTATTTCAGGTTTGTATTAACCAACTCTCTAAGTAAACCTAAAGGCTGTGAACCCTAAAAACAAAAATCTACTGTTTTAAGGTTTATGAAGCCAATTAAAATCAGGGAGGTTCATATACCTCTATTTCTACACCCTTGTGTGTGTGTGTGTGTGTGTGTGTGTGTGTGTGTGTGTGTGTGTATTTTTTTCCCCCAAGGGCCATCATTTTTAATTGCTTCCACACAGGGCCACCGAGAGCAGGTTCGGGTCCCAGTGAAAAACATTTTTCAGGCCCCCCAGCAAGGGCGGACCGGCTAAACAGGGCCGACGAGAGGGGCGGGAAGCTGGGGAAGTCGGGCCCGGAATTTTTTCGGGCTCCCCAGCAAGGGCGGACTGGCTAAACAGGGCCGACAAGGGGGTGGGGGGGAAGCCAGGGAAGCCCGGTAATTTCTACTGGCTCCCCCTGTCTTCCCTCCCCCCCCCCTCGTCAGCCCTGCTTCCACAGAAGCTTTTCAATAGAAACTAGGCTTGGGCAATTATTTTACCACTGTGAACAATGGAGTATGGAAAAACAGTACATTATTAAAAAATGTATGAGACTAAAATAACATGGGAAAATGTTTTCATATGAACTTTAAAAACAGTCATGTACAATCCTGGAAGACCCATTCATACTCACTTGTTTAAAGCCACTGAGGAGGTGTTGTTGAAACCTATCAACATCACTTGAGTCCAAGCAGCCCATCTTCAGAAACCGTTCTCTGGTCAGTTCATAAAAATCCACCTTTCCTTAAACTCAAAGACATTTCAGTCTGCTTTGTTCTCTTGGGAAATATTAAAAATAAAAAAAATGCAGAGAAAAATCATTGCTTGTCACAATACTTAACAGCTACAAATTGAGTCATTTTAAATAGTTTGCATGAACTTGATGTGATAAATATTCTGAGGTACTCAAAACCCTTTGGGAAGTGTCACTGGGATAAGCCACTGTGTGAAATTGCTATTTGAATGAATACCAATTATTTGTGATTTACTGTAATTTGCTTTTGGGTGAGCTCCTGGTTTTAAAAGTAGTTAGTGTATATACATATTAAATGATGCATCAAGGACTTGATATGTGAAATATACAGAAAGAAAGCCCTTAAATAATGTTCTAGTTAATACAACTATTAAATGGAATCTAATGTTAACTACTTAGTACTGAATTACTACAGTAAAAGAAATGAGGGGAGGGAGTGTGTGTATGGCAATATTCTGCATCAAAGGGCCTGAAATAGAGCAAAATGGACCCAACTACATAACCTATTAGCAAAAATAAACTTTTTCAAAAGCTGAATCTATGCAGCTGAAATACCACATATATTGGTAGATGTGGGGTGCGTCATTAACTATTCAGAAAACTGACAAAGGATCCTCCCTCCATGAGCCTTTGCTCTCCAGAAGACACCACTGGAGTATCTTTCAATCCAGGTCTCCAGTAGGGTCTCTCCCCTCAGGAGCTTCCTCTTTTCTAGGGCTTCCTGACTGAGCGCTCATGAGGAACCCCTACTTGGGCCTAACTAATGAACTACCACTTTGAATTTAATGAAATTCAAAACAATCAAGTTGAAATGAAGCACTTCAATAATATTTCATCAACATTTGACAAAAATTTATATGTTCCCATGAAACTTTTCAATTTCATCAAATCAGCATTTTCCAACAGAAAACTGTGCCGTCAGAAAATTTTCAGTCAGCTCCACTTTGAGTATTATTTAACTGATAAACAGTTTTTGGCTCCAGAGCTAAATGCTTTGAGGTATACCCCCTCCCCACCCCCCTATCCCCCATCTCTACAAGCTTTGCTTCCTAAAAAAAAATCTCAACAGATCCTATCCCCTCCCCAACATAATTTCTGCAGTCACTCACTGGAGTGGAAGGAGTTCAGACTACACCATGTTAAACAAGAGGAGTTCCTGTTACTGTGTGTGAATGAGGAGTTTAGAATACTTTTGTGCCCTGTGTGTATTCTACCTACAGAGTGAGTTCTAAAGGCTGGAAGCAGTGAATGAGTGGGATTTTGTGGAGTACTTCTGGGTTCCATGGCAGCAAAATGTGGGATGGGAAAAATCCAGCCTCTCCCCCAGAAGATACTGCACTAGGCCAAATGGCTAGCCTTCAAAGAAGCAGAAGGAAAAATGAATTAAGCAGCCACACCCTGAAGAAGAATGACACAAAGAAGCCTTCAGAGCTGCTACCCAAGGATCTTGGAGTGCGGCATCATGCCACTGTGTATGAGGAATACCTAGCCAGAATTGCCACAGCAAGTAAGAATAGCTGGGTGCAGGGGAAAATGCAGGCTGTCCTCATCTCCCTCGGGGTGAAGGAATGAATGTCTGATATTTGAATCTCAAAAAAAAAAAATTAAGACTATAGTTCAAGAGTATTTTCCCCCCTCAACGCAGTTCACCCCTCCCAGCCCTTGGCAAAACAAATTGTGGCTTAATCTCAACTTCCTCCGGTATAATACTTTAAAGTAGCATGCCTCTTAAGATAAATCTTTTTATTTATTCTTTCTATACTGAGATGAGATAATAAAACCAGAAAAGACCACTGTGATCATGTAATCTGACCTTCTGTGGTCCGTGTTACACAGAATTTTCCTAAATTAATTCCTGTTTGAACCACAGCATGTCTCTTAGTAAAACATCCAAACTTGATTTAAAAATTATGAGTAATGGAGAATAGTTAGTAAATTGTTCCAATGGTTAATTAGCTTCGCTATTAAAAATGTATGCCTTATTTCTAGACTGAATACGTCTAGCTCAGGGGTTCTCAAACTGGGGGTCGGGACCCTTCAGGGGGTCGGGAGGTTATTACATGGAGGGTTCACGAGCTGTCACCCCATACCCCACTTTGCCTCCAGCATTTATAATGGTGTTAAATATTTAAAAAAAGTGTTTTTAATTTATAAGGGGGTTGCACTCAGTTGCTTGCTATGTGAAAGCGGTCACCAGTACAAAAGTTTGAGAACCACTGGTCTAGGTTCAGCTTCCAGCCATTGGATCATGTTACACCTTTTTCTGCTAGATTGAAGATTGCCATTTTTCAAATATTTGTTCCCCATATGGGAACTAATAAAGGGTGGTCAACCCTTCCCCCACCCCGCCCTTAACCTTCTCTTTATTAAATTAAACAAATTGATCTCCTTGAGTTTTTCATTATCAGGCATGTTTTCCACTCATTTAACAACTCTCTTGGCTCTTCTCTCAACCTTCAATTTTTCAACATTCTTTTTGAATTGTCAACATCAGAACTGGCCTCAGTATTCCAGCATTGGTCACACCAGTGACCAATACACAGGTAAAATAACCTCTCTACTTGTACTCAAGATTCCCCTGTTTATACATCCAAGAATTGCATTAGCACTTTCGGCCACAGCATCGATCGCCTTGGGAGCTCATGTTTCACTGATTATACACCATGACCACCAAGTCTCTTTCAGAGTCACTTAGGGTGACCAGATGAGAGACATGAAATATCGGGACATTGGGGGGGGGGTCACCAGCGGAGCAACAAAAAAAAAGCCACCGGAGCATAGGAAAAAATTGGTGAGGGCTGAGCACCGACCCACCGGCAGCTCCCCACCCCGCCCGCCACAGCACCAGCTCACCTCCGCCTCCCCTGAGCGGGCTGCCATGTCCTGCTTCTCCCCCTCCCTCCCAGCGCTTGTGCCGCCATACAGGTGATTCGCACAAGCCTGGGCGGGAGGGGGGAGGAGGAGGAATGCGTTGTGCTTGGGAAAGAGGTGGGGCCAGGGCAGGGATTGGGGGAGGGATCCAATGGGGCAGGAAGGGGGTGGAGTCAGGGCAGGGGCGGGGCTGAGTTGGGGGTGGGGGGGCACGAGCCCCCTCCGCCTGTGCACCGAAGTGCAAAATATCGGGTCAGTTGGTCGGGACGCGGGACAAACAAGTAAATATCGGGACAGTCCCGATAAAATCAGGACGTCTGGTCACCCTAGAGTCACTGTTCTCCATGTTAGAGTCCCCCATCCTGTAAATATAGCCTACATTCTTTGTTCATAGATGTATGACTTTATATGTGGCTGCATTAACACACATTTTTATCAAGCAAGCCAGATCACTCTATATTAGTGACTTGTCCTCTTCATTATTTACCACTCCCCCAATCTATGTCTCCTGTGTAAACTTTATCAGTAATGAATTTATGGTTTTTTCCAGGTCACTGATCTAAAAAAAAAAAAGTTAGAGTAGCATAGGACTCAGAACCGATCCTGCAGGACCCCCCAAAGAAATATACCGTCTCAGGGATGTTTCCCCACTTACAATTACATTTTAAGACCTATAAGTTAGCCAGTTTTTAATACATTTATTGTGTGCCGGGTTGATTTTGTATTACTCTAGTTTTCAGATTAAAACATCATATGATACCAAGTCAAATGCCTTACAGATGCCTAAGCCCTCGTCTACACTGGGGGGGGGGGGGGGGTCGACCTAATATACGCAGTTTCAGCTACGCGAACAGCGTAGCTGAAGTCGGCGTATCTTAGGTCAACTTACCTGGCCGTGAGGACGGCGGGGAGTTGACCGCTGCAGCGGTGAGTTGATCGCGAGCTGGAGTTCCGGAGTCGACAGGGAGTGCGTTCAGGGATCGATTTATCCGCATCTAGACGAGACATGATAAATCGATCCCCGATAGATCAATCTCTACCTGCTGATCCGGCGGGCAGTGAAGACCTGCCCTAAATATATTGCAGCAAAACTATTACCTTCAATCAAGACTGACAGGATTTGTCAAAAAATGAAGAAAAACTATGTGAAAATTTGAAATTATTTTCTCTTCCTGTCCCCCTCAATTTTGTATTTCCCCACACACACGTTTTCCCCCTCAAACAAATATTTTGAAAATTGTTATTTTGAAAATTGAAGTTATTTTCATTTTAAAAGGCTCAAAATTGGCCCATTTTGAGGGATGGGACTTGTTTTTATGAATTCTCCACCCAAGTTTTTTTAAACCAAAACTCAACAGATTTCATTTACTGACCATAAATTTTAGGCAAGAGAAAATTTTCAATAATCCTTTTGATAAACATGTAAAAGCCACCAGCACAGCATTACATGTTTCACGCAGCGAAGAGAAGTTTTGACAATATCAACAACTTTACAGAAAAATATCATTTAACAAAAGGCCATTTTTCAACTAAAAAAAAATCTTTTCATTCAAAAAATTTCATCTGGCTCTGAGATATTCCATTTGGCTCTGTTCTCTGTAACATTAGTATTATACTTGATTCTGAACCTCCTACATGGGCCTATCATTGTTCCTATAACAAAGCCAACATACGCCACTGCCACAACTCCATCTCTGGTCAAGTCTTTGTTCATATATTCATCTTCGCTCCTTAATTACTGCAGATTCAAATCTCAGTCTCTGCTCATTTTCCTGTATCTACAAGAAGAAAGAATAGGCATTTTGTGGTCAAGCAACTCCACTGCTTCTCTATTTCTTTCAAATACAATTAAAAAGTCCCCTCATTTTTAAAACCGTCCATGGACTTGCTCCAGCTTATCTGATGACCCTTGTCTCTTTCTATCCCCCAGGCCTAAGTATTACTGAGTAACTTCTTTGCCCTTCTGTGCAATCTCACCACTATTGGTGTGAAACCCTCTCCTGCTGTAGCTTTTGTCATCTGGAAAAGGTTTGCAGTATCTCTCTGCTTCACTGATTCTCACGCATTTCAAGTCTCAGCTGAATACATCTCTTTTCTGCCTTACTTACTAACTTACTTACTAACAGCTGAAGTAAAGAGAAATGAAGCAGTATT